AGAATCAAAACGCCAGCTTAATAATCCTTGATCGTTCGTTTCAGATTCAACTTGTCCTGGAGTTTCCAACAAGGTTGTGTTCTTGGTTTCTTCCCAAAAATTCTGATGTTCTAACCACCTATTGGGGCCTTGCAGTAACCTCTCAATTTCAACCAAATATTCATTGGTAATTCCAATAGGTAAGTGGTTGAGTTTCTCATACTGAAAGAGTGATATTTTCTTTTGTCAACTTCCTAAAAAACATATCAACTATTTGTTGCTCTTCCAAGTGAACATCCTCAGATTCTGTAGATTGGATTTTTATCACCCTAGCCACAATTTTAGCTCTTTGAATTTGATTATTCCTAGAGATTTGGGGCATTTATGATGGTTTTAAGACATCAAATGCAACTGCTTGATCGTTCTCTCTCAAAATTACTTTTCCCTCCTCAACATTAATAATAACTCTGTCAGTAGCTAAGAATGATCTCCTAAAAATCACATGCATTCCTTTATCATCTTTTAAATCCAGAATTATGAAATCAACCAAGAGAGTAGACATATACATAGTAATAAATAGGTTTTCAACTAGGCCTGAGGGATGAACCACAGATTGATCAGCAAATTGAAGTGCCAAATTTGTAAGTTTAATTTTCCCCTTCCAAGTTGTTTGAAAATTTTTAGAGGCATGAGATTGACATTGGTTTTTAGTTCACAGAGTGCTTTTTCAGAAAACTCAACTCCTACAGTATATGGGATGGTAAAACTATCGGGGCCTTGGCTAGGGTTCTGTAGCCTTTGCAGGAAAGGAGGTGGAAGTCTCTCAGTTTAGTTAATCAAAATGGCGGAGGACAATTTACCTAACACAAGTCTCATAGGTGTATTGCCCTCTGGTTGTTTGGCTTCCTTCTCTACTCCAATCCTGACTCCTAATTATCTTGCAGTGCTCCAAATTCTGACCTTTTGGATTTACTTCAGCATTGTTAGGCAGTGCTGCTGAGGGTCTATCATTCATTGAATTCGCCAGCTGTCCTAATTGGGTTTTCAAATTCTTGATGGCTACAGCTTGGCTTTGTAAAGTGATCCCCATTTGAATGACTAGTTCCTCGATAGGAGACTTCTTTTGGTTTTAGGAATTAGCCTCAAATTCTGGTGCATATTGGGGTTTTTGGTGTTGGTTTCCTGGGTTTTTCCAACTACTTACATGGTTGTTATAATTGTTCCCCAATTGTTGGTTGTTATTATTCCAAGAAAATTTGGGTGGTTCCTCCAGCCTGGATTGTAGGTGTTACAATATGGGTTATGACCATGATTTCCCATAACATTCACGGATTCTAAGACCGAGTTGCTAGGATCTATCACGGTCCTTGAATTAACCCATCGTTGGGTGTAGCCTATACATCGAATTCATGCCCAGACTGTAGGTACTTGGGTGGCCAGGATAGCTAGGACATCCGATTCATGAACATTGTCTACCTTCTGAGGTGTAACTCGTTCAGTGGGCCATTGGAATTTATTGGTGGTCATTTCTTTTTTCAAATGGTAGGCCTCATCAAAAAGTTTAGACATTAAAGTTCCTCCTACGACAACCATTTATTATGAATCTCAGGGAATTTATCAGTCCATTATAAGAAGTTTGAATAATTAGTTAATCAGGTAGTGCATGATCTGGACACCTCCTAAGTAATTCTTTGAACCTCTCTCAAGCCTCATAAATAGATTTTGTATCGATTTGAGTGAATGAGACAATGTCATTCCTAAGTTTTATAGTTTTATACAGAGGAAAGTGCCAAGTCATTCCGGGTTGTGATTGATCCTGGGGCAAGGGAGTTCAACCATACATTAGCTTTTATCTTGCAAGGAAAGGGGAAAAGGCCTCAATCTAATAACATCGCTGCGGACATCGTTGTATCGGAAGGTGGCACATAGTTCAGGAAAATTAGCTAAGTGAAGATTGGGATCTTCAATGGCAAGTCTCTCAAACTAATTGTTTTGAATCATTTGGATTATAACAGGATGCAGTTCGAAAGTGTTAGCTTCAACAGTAGGGTAGTTGATGCTCATGTGAATCACTTTAGCAAAAGGGTTGGTGTAATCCTTATGTGGTTTCAAGGTAGAGGGGTTAGGTCAGCCATCTCAAAAAAGTTTTTCAAAAGTTAAGTGCGATCTCTTAAGACGTCTAAATGTGTGATCAATCTCAGAGCCAAAAGGGGTGAGATCAGCCTCAGCTCTCCTGAACATAAAAATGAAAGATTAAAACTATGCAGCAAATAAGCACACTAACTCACATAAGTCAGTCAACACGCTAATATGCAAGTGCGACACACAATATGCTAAAGAGAACAAAAGATATCGAAAATAAATTATGAGCAATAATTTTGGCATTTTGATTTTTTTTCAAAGTTTAAAAATTTTCAACACCTGCAAAGAGTACAACAAAAATACAGATGCAGCAAAAAAATAAAAACACATAATAAAAGTAAGAAAAAAGTGTCAAACTTAGATCCTAAGTTTTTCAACTAAAATTTTCCTAAAAGCGGAAATAATTATTAACGTCTTTCTTCGTCAACGGCGCCAAAAACTTGATGCGTCAAAACTTATCGGAACGTAAGTCGGCTATACAACGGAAGTGCATGTGTCAACTAGTAATGTTGTTCTAGAGTACCGCATATTGATCCAACAGGAAAAATGTAATATTTATTTCTATAGAAAATATCTAGTTTACTTATTTAGTTAACCTAGCTTAGGGTTTATTCAAAGAAAATTTTTATTTCCTAAGGTCCTAGCAAACCGAGTACTTAACAATTGAAAGAAAAGCAAAAAACAAAAAGGGAGTTCGTGAGTTCCTTCAAGATAGATGCGACTCGTGCCTTTGTGATTTGGGGATCATGGAGATCGTGATTTTCCCTAAATGTTTTCCTACGTGATTGTTGTCAATCGGAGACATAGTACTTTTTATGCCTACATCTAGGTCAAAAGAAACCTAGAATCTATAAAGTTGAAGATTTCTCAATCCCCATGACATTCCGCATGACTTTTACAATCCCTTGGGATGATTGTGAATTTCATTGGAATGTCTATTCTCTCAGAATTCTGTAGTTAGCCCTTCGTTTCTACTACGCAACGGTTAAAAATTGTAGTTTCACGAAACATTTTAACTTCTTAATTGGTCAGACTAAGAGTAAATTAAGTTCGGAGATTAACCAACAACATAGACCATGAAAATACAAAAAAACAATTAATGAAAAAACATTATGGAAAATACATGATAAATCCACAAATCCCTACATCACAAAGACACGAAGAAAAGCTTAGCCGCTCATTATGGATAAAATCACAGCAAAAACCACTATATGATAATTTATTGCAAGCAACATAAATATGAAAAACTTACAAGAAATTGCTTCCTCTGCAAAGACAACACCTTTCTCTCTCATACAAATCTCTCACAACTCACAAAATAAAAAAAAACTCTGCCTTAAGGGTTTCCACCCAAGGAGAAAGACAGCCCTCAAGAGATCCCTCAAATTCTCTCTCAAACTCTCTTCTTTCAGCCTCCAAGCCTTATCCGATACATAACTCCCTCCAAGAAGCCCAACTACTATTCTTGCTCACAAACATCCATAACTTTAACTTGGTGCCAACTTATGCCTACATACAAAACCAACAGCATAAGAGCCAATGACTTTTTAACTGCTGACTTTTGTCACACATATATGCTTGTTGGCTAAAAAATGGCAACTTTTTAGGCTTGCCAAAGAGCCATCAAACCCATAACCTACAATGAATGGACTAGCCACCAAGCATTATGTGGACTTGCTAACTTTCATGCAAACAATTCTCACTCGAGCCATTGGCTTCACCAAACTCGAATCAAATTTGTGGCCCACTAACTTTAAGTGTTCCTCCTTGTAAGGCTTAGCCATAGGATTTATATCGTAATTCAAAAAGATGTATTCCCTACTAAGTCATATATCTTTTGTTATGCACTAATTAAAATAATATTTTAATATGTTAATTCAACATGGCCTATTCCCTACAAAACCATATTTCTTTTTTTATGCACTAACTAAAATAATATCTTATCTCTAAAATGGCTAATTCATCTTCCATTATTATTTTATTGCTTGCTTCGGCTACTAAACTCTTTTTATGATATAGAAATACACTTGCACACAACGAACCTCACAAAGCAAGGACTATGACCATTATATAATTAATCATGGGAGCTTGTAGCCACGAGAAGTCAGCATCTGAAAATCAAAATAAGCTCAATTGGAAGTCACCTATTGGGTAGGAGACATCTGGTTCTCAAAATGCAAGTCTCTGCCCTTCAAGCTAGCTCAAGTAACAAAGGTGTGCATAGCACAATCTTGGCATTCATCGGACTCCCATCAGCTAGAGTCCCATTCAGTACCAAAATAGTCTCTGATGCATTACTGTAGTGTGGGGTGTTTGTTTGCATTTGTGTATCATGTACTGAAAAAGGTTGCAACAATACAGAGGCAGCACAAATTTTCTTGATTTATAAAAATCGTATTTAAGACTTACAAAATGAAGGTGCCTGAGAGAATAAGAAACCAAAATAACTTGGTCAACTAATTCAGATAGCTCACAAAAGGAAGAGGAGGTCCAATGAATGACCTTCATGAGATACCTACTAGGAATCACCTTATGTTTTAAATTCAACTTTGATTCACTTTGGCTTCTAACTCTCTAACACAAAATAGGCAAATGAAACATGGGAATAAACTAGGGCAAACTTACTAGTAAATACCAACAAAAATAGTTTGTATTAAGTAAATACCAAACAAATGCAAAACATTATATTGTCTACGCAGGCAATAATAGGGATACTTTGTTGATTTAATTACATATTTTATCATAGTACTATTTGGCAATAAAATTCGTCACATAATTTAGTAACTATAAATATTAATCAAAGGGTAAAAAATCACAACAAAGAATGGAAAACAATGAGTTAAGAACTCAAGAAAATGTTCAACATTAGTAGTTATTACTATAATGGCTCGTGCTGGTTGGCAATGCTAGGCCGGCTAAACAGAGACGTCATTCTAAAAACTGTCATTGTCAATTAATCAAACAGTTGGAAGGCGTCATAGAAGTAGGATAGGTGCAGAAAGCTAGAAAGCAAAATCATCTCTGCCCCAAAATAGGAAAGCATCATAACACCCAGCATCTACGGAGCCTGGAAACATAACTCACATTCAGATCCCCGAGCATGAAAACAAACTGCAAATACAAGAAAAATGCAAGCAAAACCTAATCCATATTCACCTTTTTGTAGCCACCAGGTCGCCACCACTCGGGTGGAGGAAAGGAAAGACCTTTTCTTTCGGCAATTTCGAGAATGTCTACACGACCTAAGCTTCTGTCAGAATTTTCGGCGAAATATTTGATTAGGTTGATTAAATCTTCCCGCCGAAGGCGCGGCGGAGGCAACGAAGACGGCTCTTTGCGGGAAGCGATGTCCGTTAGGCTCTCTTTATCTAGCGGATTCAATGGAGACTTAGCAAGCCTACGAATCTCCGATGAGGCGCTGGGATTAGGAGCAGGGGAGAAGGTCTGTCCGTCGAGGCTGCGGATTTGAGATGACGAGGAGGGTTCGCCGATTACCGGTGCATGACGGAGGGTTTCTTCTACCGCTGGGGGTATTATGCATTCAGATATGATGGAGGCAAAGGGATCGTCCATGTGCGAGTGATGCTGCAGAAGACGGTGGACGGCAGGCAAGGAAAGTGCGAGAAGAGGGGCGAAGAGAGCACTCCAATGAACGACTCAATTTCAGATAAAAATAAAAAAGTGTTTGGCTCATTTACAGTTAGAAGACAAAAAAATTATTGCTCATTTGCCTACCTGTCCGAATATGGGAAAATATTTGGAGGTTATTTAGACTTATCAGGGTATTAAATCCGCATTATATCCTATGTAATCGACTTATAATCTACATGTAACCTACAAATATGTTCCGCACTTTTGTAGTTCCGATAGGTACAGTTAAGTTACAGGGAGGTTATAAGGGGATATAATGCGGATATAACCCCCTACACCCACTGAATAACTTCCGACGTGCATCTTGCGTACGCAAATGTTTTCCCCGAATATGAGCTCTTCACGAACAAAATCTTGTTTTAGGGTCTCTTTAGGATGTAAAATATAGGGGGAAGATTTAAATCTTTCTATTAAGATTAAACTATTATTTAAATATAATTTAATATATTTTATTTAATTTTGTAACGAATAATTTTGAATGATTATAAATCTTTGTAGCCCGGTAGAGAATTAAATTATTTAAAAATACTATGCATCAATTATACATTTATAATTATTTAAGTTACTAAACTAACAAATTTCTGTTCGTGTTCGGATTGTTTTGAGCCAGAAACAATCCGAACATGAATGAACAAATCTTTGTTCATATTCGGCTCGTTTATATATCAAGCACCAAAAAAATATTTGTGTTTAACTCATTTGCTTAGCGAACGAATATAACACAAGCTACTTAACAAGTCAAATACGAGTTGTTCGTGTACAGCAAACCGTTTTGAAAGCACTACATACATAGCAACACTAAAAACATTGCAATTTATAAATATAGCAACCTCTTTCATCCATTTTTCAAATTTTCACTCAAATATCAAAATTCATGATGAAACTCAACCCATATTTTTCATTTTTATCAAATTCTCAATAATTTGATTATGACACACATAAATACTTTGGTTTGACAGTTAAAAAATATCACTTATATGCTAGATTTTGTAAATAATAATTTCACGAGTGCTATGTATGTAATAATCTCTAAAAAACAAAGAAGCTCATTTTTTCACTTGAAGGTAAAAAAAAGTGTTTTTACATACATTTCATTGAATTATAATGCATATATCTAATAAGTAAACTTCCGTTTTTATTACTTGTTGTCTTTCCATGGAAAAAAATATATACTTTTTTTATGCATAGGTAACGTGTTATTGAATTCGAGATTATCCGGGAAACAGACCCAAAGAATGAAACATTCTATTAGAATGAAATTAAGAGAGAGAGAGAGAGAGAGAGAGAGAGTGTGTGTGTGTGTGTGTGTGAGTGAAGAAGCGGTAATAGACAAGCAAAAGATATTTATTGGCATAAGTCTCAATATTACAAAATTACATAATAACGCTCTAATTATTAACCTTTCAAAGGGTTTTTTGGTAATTTATAAGGTTTTTTGTTTATAATAAGGCCCGAGACCTATTCAATTGATACGGGTCGTCGATCGTCTGACAGCTCATGGTTCGATTGATTCATCGTCCGAAGGAGTGCTCCCCATCAATCGTTTTGAAGGCTGATGACGGTCACAAGGGATTTCCTTTTGTCATCTTCTATTGATCGTACGAGTAAGGTGTTTTCTCCATCGAACCTCCTCCAAGTGTTAATTTGCTCTGTGGTTGGGTCAAAGTATGAATTAGACCAAAGGGTGGATCAGGCTTGGTCTTTGATCCACCCTTTGGTCTTGAGCTATGTTAGAGGCTTTGAGGGAGGGGGTTTTGATTGAGGAATTAATTTTAGGCTATGAGGAAGCTTTTAGAGAGGTCAATTTAAAGTTTTAAGGAGTTGGTGAGATGGTCGAAAATGTCCTGGTTTTGAGCTTTAAAATTAGGGTTTTGTGGTGGGAGGCCGTGGCTGAGAATGGTGGAGATGAACTTCATATAGGCTAAGGGTTTGTTTCAATTTTGACAGGGCTTCACCAAGGTTGGTTAACTTCTCCATTTGGATGTGAAGGGTGTTGGTTTTATAGACTAAGGAAGGGGCTTCAATTGGCCAAACCAAAGGGTTCAAGATGGCGCGTAGGTGGAGAGAATGCAGGAGAAAGTGTTCAATTGGAGTGAGCCACATTGGATGGGTGGAATTCGGAGTTTTGACCACGGTGGTGCTCCTCAGCCTTGGGTTTTCCGGTGGCTAGTGTGGCCGATCAGACCATGGGAGGTCACCATCTGACTGTGGGAAGTTAGCGGTGGGGCTTGGTGAATCCAATTGTCTTCAAGCATGAGTAAGGGTGTTTAATCAAAAAGGAAAGTGGTTTGGGTCAACATGGGTTTAGCTTGGGTTTAGGCTCATGGAAATGAATTTGGGTGGCCTCCAAGATGGCTAGGGTTGATGGTCAACTGGTGGGTTATGATGGTCAAGTCCCTATCCAAGTGATTATGGTTAATTATGGGTCAGAGGAATCATTGAAGTGCTTAAGTGCTTTAAGCAAAATCAAGAAAGATCCCCCTCCTTCTGCCACTTAGGGGAGGGTGACATGCATGGCTCGCATGGCTCATATGTGGCTGGTAGAAAGCTTCATGGCTTGCATGTGGCTTGGCTAACTTTCATGGGGGAGGTATTTAGAATTTTGAGCATTTTTGTGAGGTGCCATCATGAAGCCAAATGTAGGAGAGTTAATCATGCATGGCATGGTCTATAGTTTGGGTTTTGATTAAATGGTTGATGGGGCATTTTGTGTCATGAAGGAGTGGGTTTGGCTTTGATGGACCTTTTCATTTTATTTGAAATTGGATTTTGGGCTTAAGTAATGGGATTTTAAAATTGATCATGAGGAATTGAATTTATGTTTGAAATTATGCATGATGGACTTTTAAAATTGATCATAATGGTTGGGCTTGAGTTTGAAATTGTCATGATAAGATTTGGGGCATATGCTTGGAGAAATTTTATTTGACTTATGAGTTCAATTTTGGTGGAAATTAGATTTAGGGTTTACTTGGATTTGAATTTGGGCAGTTTTGGATTCGGGCTTGAATTTTAGTGGAATTGGGGTTTGCTTTGGAATTGAGTGGACTTGAAGTGAATTTGATGGAAATTGGGGGCAATTTGGAAATTTCAGTGAAAATTGGGTCACCTTGGTATTTTTGGGATTTTGGTCAATTTTGAAAATCTTGGAGAATTTTTGAGGAATTTAGGGGCAATTGGGTAATTTAGAGGGATTTTAAATGATTTTGGTGGGAAATTGGGTATTTCGACAATTTTGGGTATATTTGAGAATTTTGGGATATTTTAGTCATTTTGACGATTTTGGGGTATTTTGAGGAGTTTTAGGAAATTTGGGTAATTTAGGTTGACTTTGATGGATGTGGGTAGATTAGGATTATGGTGAGTGGATTGGGGTGTGAAGTGGTGAGAAATGGCATGGTGGAGTGGAGTAGTGAGGGTTATGAGAGTAGTGTATAAGGCATCCTTGGGGTTTGGTGGTACTATAGGAACCCATTCTTTGAGTTTCAACATGTTGGTCTCCAAGCACTCAGCCAAATGATAAGGTTCTAAGACCACCCATGTGAGACTTCATAAAAGAGTTCATAATTATTCTCGAATTGTGGTGATCTATTCCATGTGCATGTGAATTGCACTGTATGTGATGTGTATTGTAGTGGTGTGTATTAGGGTGAGTGTCCAAGTCATAATGGGTTTCCTTAAGGTCTTGTGATCCTATGAGAGCTCAATTTTGAGTCTCCACATATTGGTCCTAGTCATCTCAACTAAGAGCTAAGAACTTGGGACCACCATATGAGACTTCAAAATGAGTTAAGAAATGTCTTAAATTTCGGGTTGAGTATCCTCACTAGTCTTCTAGGATAGTCAATCAGGAAGACCTATAGCTAGATCCTAAGTTCTAGGAGAAAGAAATTAGATCTCACCAATAATGAATTCAACAAAAGAACCCCCAATAGGTGTGGTGTGCTAAACAAACACGTCACGTGTATTGATATTGACCAAAACGATCAGCCAACTCGACTTGAGATTGAATTGAGTTTGAATATTTTAGAATTCTAGCTGGGGATTTAGCAGGTGTATTTTCAATTTATAGCAGTGAATTCAAGTCATCAAGCTCATATATAATTTTTGAAGTTTGTGTTGTGATTTTTGTTCATTTGTTCATTTGTCTTTATGAGTGCTTTATGAATTTTAGGGTGACAACCATCCAGACTCCTTGTCGAGGATGTGATAGTCGTGGTGAATTTGATTTGTCATAGTGTTTGTTTCATATAGAATGATCAGATTGAGGAAGCAAGCACAGAGATTCACATCTACCTCAAGAACTAACTGAAGGAATTGGAAAACTCATACCATTTAAGGGGGTCTTACACTCATCCTGAGAATTTTGTGATTGTAGGAAATTTTGTATCAAGATATGAGGAAATGTATGAGATTTTTATGGGAGTCAGAATCCATACACCGATCCCGGAATATTGTGTGTGAGAATCGAAATCCTTGCATCGTCTCGGAAATATTGTGTGTGTGGGAATCAAAATCTATGCATTATCCCTGGAATATCATATATGTGGAGAACTTATGAATAAAATGTGAAAATATTCCGAAGGAATCGACACCGACCTTGAATATCTTGAATGTTAAAAATTATGGATGGAATGCGAGGTTATCGCAGAAGGTATTAGAGTCCTTGCACCAACCCTGAATATCATGAATGTTGAAAATTATGGATGGAATGCGAAGTTATCGCAAAAAGTATCAAAACCCTTGAATCGATGTTGAATATCGTGAATGTGAAAAATTATGGCTGGAATGCGAGGTTATCATAGAAGGTATTGAAATCCTTGCACCGACCATGAATATCGTGAATGTGGAAAGTTATGGATGGAATGCAATCTGTTATAATTTTGATGATACAACAAACTTTTTAATTGTTCATTCTATTTTTTATCTTCATAATACGTATTTGTTTATTAAATTTTTATATGAAGGAATTTTTAATAAAATATTTTAATATTTTTTGTCCTTTTTGTTTATTTTAATTAAATTTAAAAAAAAAGCAAGTTGTAAATTTAGTTCTTACAAAAAAATTATGTATGCCTAAAAATTCAACTTTAATTTTTATTTTGGAAGTAAATAAATTTTTATTCTTTAACACCTCTATGAAAATGTTAATTAACTTGTTTAATATATTATTATTTCTTCAAATTCCTTCAATTTGTACCAAGTGCACATGCAATTAAACTAGAAGAAAGAATAATAAAAGTTAATTTATCATTAAACAACTAAAAATTTACTCCAATAAATTATTAAAATTAAGTTTTTGTAAATCAATTACTTTTGAAGTGCATAATGAAGTCTTTTTTTCAACTTCATACGAC